AGTATGTTTTTTGTTTGCTCCCAGTGAGTTTATGTGAAGTTGTCCATATAATGTGCATCTTCATTGTGCCAAAAGGAGTTCTTTTTTCTGTTTTCATTGAGATATTCAAGTTCAGATTTATTTTGTAGTGAAAATCAGATGTGCAATGGGGTATATCAATTTCTTTTGTCTGGTACATGTAATTGAAATTCATTCGTGCTACCTGTTGCATACTACTTAGAAGATGTGCTTCCAACTTCAGTAATTTAAAGGTCAGTAGCTTAAATTTAATTTAGATTATGACTCTTATCATGTTGTTGCTTTAATGCTTTATTGTAATTGCTTACAGAAATATTGTGGTTATTGATGATGAAATGGCTAAACCTGATGGTGCCAATCAGAATACTGTCAGAAGCTTTGAAGAGGCTGGATGGAGAAGTACACGAAATCGAAGTCAGAGCAAGTCGTTACAAAGAGAAAAGGAAAGAGACTCCCAGAGTCATCAAAATAGTAAAGACTGGGATGGGAAACAAAACGGAATGTACCAGATTTTTAGCACGTACAACCATCAAACCACAGACCAAAACAGGGCTCGACAAAACAGAAAGTATCATACCGTCCTTCCCTTCAATCTATTACGATCAGCACGGTTGTTCGTATTTCCTTTTCGTTTTACAAGGCAAACTGCACTGACGTTACGGTCTTCTGAATACTTTGGTCTTCAACGAGTGGAAGGTAACCCCGCCCCGATTGAGATCGTCTCGAAGCTTCTCCAACGATACCCACTTCTCCATCTTAGTTGCTGGTATCTTAGGATATATGTAAGAATTGGAACTATGCTTTTACTCTTATCAAATGGACGCATGCTTGGGCACCCACGCACATAGTGCGTTCCCAGTTAGTAACATTATATGGGACGGGAGTACCTACCTAGCATGTGATTTGCCCACATGCCTCATGTTTTCTCTTCCTTAAAAAAGTGAATCTGGGTAATGACAAGTAAACCATGCGATGCACGGGAATAGGGAGTCATAGAATTAAAACACATGAGGCATAATCTCATACAAGATCTTTCTCATAAAATACATAAAGAGAAATTTACCTAAATAAAACTAAAACATAATGACTTTCCCAATATAGGACCATATGTTTTTATTTCCCAATGTAGGACTTTTGGTCATTATCAAGTAGTCATTATTCAAGTAAATGTCTAACATTACTGGACATTATTCCTCCCACTAGGTCATTATTAAGTCCTATTTAGAAAATAAAAAAGTTTAAATCCTACATTAAGAAAGTCATTATGTTTTAGTCCTATTTATTGCAAATTTCACATACATAAAATCTATCCAACTTTGCATAGAATTAAAACAACTTATGAATGTCATATACTTAATGGATTCTAAAAAATATATCAAAATATTTTAAAATCTCAATTGAATACTAATGTTGACACTATTTTAAAAATATACTCCGTACTTAAATTACATAATTTAAAAAATGAAATATTGGACCAGGGCAGGTCCAAGTCCAATACATTCAAAATTTTAAGAACCATCTTTTTTTTTGAAATAAAAACCATATCATTACTGCACTAAAAGTAAGATTACAAATTCAGGCAGAGTAGAAACCCAAATACATCCCGCTCGCTTAGCAAGAGTATGCGCAACAACATTCACATCTCTACAAAAAAAGAGATTGAACCAAAAGAAAAAATAGATAACAATTGCTTTACACTCAAAAAACCAAATCGTCAAAATAAAACAAGAGAGAAAAATTACAATCAACAACCGCTTCCCCCACTCGCTCACAATCAACAAAAAATTTCACATTTTGAGACCCCAAGTACCTAATCCAAGAATAAGAACCATCTTTGTTTCTTTGTAAAAGATGGAACAACCATGCTAGAGGTACACCAAAAGTGTACCCCAAAAAAATGTATGGATATTTTATTAAATGGTTCATACGGGCAGAGAATGTAGTTCAATTAAAAAAATTACACTGATATTTTTTGTCAATGTAAATCATTAAACTGATATTACACTGACACAAAATATCTTTTGGGGCACAAAATGTGGTACTGGTGTAGATATAGCTTAATTCAAAAATGAAATATTGGACACGCCTTGGAATCACCGTGAACGGTGCGGGTTCATTTCTACCAGGACCCGTGTTTTCCTATTAACGACGGCGATGAACAGATCTGCAGTTTTGTATCCACAAAAGAGGAGTTATTACATAAGATGATGATAAGAGATATTCACAATCGACGCCAACGCCCAGACAGATTCGTCACTGCAAGATAACACTCCGAAGGTAATTTTATCATCACTCGCGAGTTTGTATTTGTGGATCGTAAGGTCAATTATCGTTTATTTGTTTGGTTTAGTTCTGATTTCTTGTGAATTTGAAGCTCTAAAACCCTAAATTTGAGAATCCGAATTTTTCTTCCTTATGCGTACCTGTATTTCCCTCTTCATGATTCCTCTTCTGATTTATTTCATTCATCTATTTATGTTATGAAATGTGTTTTGTGGAATGTAGATGAAAAGGAATGAAATAAATAAATCCGGCCATCGGATTAGTATTCATGACATTAATGGCAGTACGAGTTGCGAGGGAGGGCTTGTGGAGAAACTTCCAGTTGAGGTTATCGGAGAGATATTGTCTTGCGTAGGAGTTGCACGAGATGTGATTAGAGCTTCTCTAACTTGTCGCAAGTGGCGAGAAGCTTATCTCAAACACCTTCGCACCCTTTCCTTCAATGTTGCTGATGATGATCGTGTCTATCGGGAGCTTCCCATTAGTGACTTGGAAATGTTGATCACAGAGACTTTATACCAATCACCCGGTTTGCGAAGATTGTCAATTTTGATGGACGACAAGCACGACTTTACGGCTGCTACTGTTTTGGGCTGGTTAATGTTTGCTAGAAAAAATTTGACAGAATTGTTTTATAAGGTTAGAACCTCTAACCCTATAAATGTTCTTGCTACATTTGGAAGGCAACGGCTTGAATCCTTGAGTTTAAGCGATTACATAATAGATGGGGCTGAGCCAAAGTTCAAACCATTCCCCTGTTTGACATCACTCTCTCTAACTCGTGTCCGTATTTCGCTAGAAGGTCTAAACCGGCTTCTTTTGGCTTTTCCCAAACTCGAGCGTGCTGAACTTAGTGATATCTTTCTATGGGCTCTAAGCGATGATGATCATTCACCAGAAATAACAGTCAAGTTGAGTTGTCCTACATTAAAGACTCTTTGGCTTAGTTATCTTCAACCAATGGACCTTATTCTGGAGAATGGTGGCATTGAGTATTTGCATGTGCAAAGATGTTGTTTTGGTTCATTTAAGGTCAATGGTAGTAAAAATTTGAGGCACTTCAACATATCCTACACGAAGGTTCAAGTCCTTACGATTGAAGATGGAGACAACCTTGAGAGTTTAGAAATCATCAGCAGTGATGTTACAAAGTCCAATTTGTTCCCAATGAAGATAAACACGCCGCAATTGAAAACGTTTCGAATTTGGGGTACTAATATTTTCGTGAGAGGGAAAGGAGTAGTGGAGGATTTACAACGATTAGCTGTTTGTTCGCCACAACTTAGCCATCTTGCAATATTTTATTATGAAGAGCCATCTTATGATTTTACGTTTGGATCCTTGGAGAAGGTCGGGGTGTTGGAGGTTGGATGGGAATGGGATTATATTGATGGCTTTTGTGAGTGGACAGAGAAGGTGTTGAAGTGTTGTCCGAATGTTGGGAAGTTGATTGTCCATGGGATAGTTCCCAAAGAGGCTCTTGTTCCCTGTCCCTCAAAGTATTTGGAGGACTTTGGCGAGTACACATCATCAATGTTGGAAACGATGAGGAAGTATCAGCATATACAAGTGCAGTTTGTATACAAGTATCAAGGTGAGTTCTCAGCCTACTTGTAATTCTTGTGGGAAACTTCTGTGTGTGTGACATTGTGAGCATTTGTGGAAAGACGCATGTTCTTTTTTCTACGATTTTCTTTCGTAGTAATCTAATGTCTGTCTGGTCTGAACGTCTCTATTCTAGGGAACTATTTTAATGATATTACTATCTTAGAATCTCTTCTCTAAATTTTTTTGAGGTTATGTTCTGTTTTATGTTCTGTTTAGAGCCTGTTTGGATGGTTGGAGTATAATGGGAATGTTCTTCCTATGAAGGAAAAAAAGGATGTCCCAATTTAGAGGTCACCATTTTACTACATTTTCTAAAATGATTAGCTGGATTACTTTTTTTGTTTGTTACATGTGTGTTGGGTAAAGTTCAAAAGGTCAGGCGGGATGAATATATTGGGAGAGAGTATATTTGATATTCAATAACCCATTGAAATGTGGACAACGCACAAAAAAACAAAGAAGAATAATGTTAGAAACTTAGAATGCCACCATATTAATATTTATATACTATGACCCATAAAATGAGTGTGAATCTAAGGACCACAAAAGAATTTGTCTTCCTTATAACATACTCCATCTGTCGCATTTAAGTTTTCTAGTTTGACTTTTTGGTGACATAGAATAAATTTTAACTTAATTTAAACAAAAATTGAAATGTACTCCGTATATTCATAAACAAATGATTTTATTAGATTTATTTTGTTGAGGACTTTCAAAATTTTATTTAATTGTAATGATACGAAATACAAATTGATAGTAATTGAAATTTAAATTTGTCTAATTTTGTTTAAAAATGTTAAAGTAGACAAATACACTGAGACAGACCTAGTAATTTTTCTCGGTAACTTATTTAAGTAATAAAATAATAGGTTTAATGCATGAATGAGAATTGAACACACAATTATAACATGTCTATTGAAAAAGCAACAAAGATACAAATTTTTTTTTAAAATACTTGAGGAATATCAAGTTGAACGGCGGATTATGTAAGCTGTTATGGAAAATTCGTTTGCTAAACTTAGCCGTTTATAAACGGTTATTGTAGTAAAATTACATATTCATGTTTCCATGTATTTATACTCATCACCGTTCCCATCATCTTTAAGTAAATAATTTACACAATATTTATAAAATCTAGAAAAAGTTCACTATGTAAAAAATACTCCCTCCTCCCTAAATATATCTCATATTTCTATTATCGAGATAAAATATCAATTTTTTCAATTCATTTTATTTGCATATTGGTATGGAAATAAAAAATAAAATTTACATATAAAAAATCTACATGCATAGTTCTTCGAAATAAGAGGTGTCAAAAATATTTTATTTTATCAAATAACCCATGAAAACTAGAAATAAACAAAAGTTTCCGCGACTGCTGAAAAAACAAATGTGAGATATATTTAGGGACGAATGGAGTATGGATACAACATAACTTTGAATGAATTACAAAATATGAAAATAAAAATTAAAAAAATTATTAAAAGTAAAAAAGAATAATAGAGTGGGAGAGATTAATTAAATGGTGAAAGTTGTGTTGGAGTTCCAACATCAGAAAATAAAGAGGAATACCACCAATTCATTTACAAGCAAAGAAATTTAAAAAACTAAAAATCTTGCTTTGTTTTGCGTTATGTAACATTGTTTCTGAGATGGATGTTTTTTTTAAAAAATAATATTATTTTAATTAGATTTTGTAACTCAAAATTAAAATTAGTATTGTATTTTTAATATAATATCTAATTACATGCTTAATTTTTCATGTCTAATCTTCTGTCTAATGCTCAAAGTTTCTCCATTTCTTTTCACTTTCTTTCCTTAATTTTATCACTTTTCTTACGCCACCATTCAACTAATTTTTCAATTCTCACTTTCCTTCAACTCTTAGATATAATTTTTTTCAACTAATGCTTCACCATATTTTTCGAATATTTTATTTCCTTTAATTTTGTTAATAACAAAATAGTTGAGTCACTTTATTCCTCCAATATTTTATATGTATAACTTCTGTTCAATTTCTAAATATAATAAATTTAAAGCGTGAAATTTTGTAAATTTTAAAAATTGAATATCCATTTTATGAGCAAGTGAGCAAGTAATGTAATTAGGTCGAATCATAAAATAAAAAAAACCTCCGCAAAGCAATTCCAATCATTAAACACTTAAAACCATAGGGCCTGTTTGGGAATATCGTAAGTTTTTTAATTTAAAAAGGCTATCTACGACCAGCGTTTAGCGTTAGTGTTTTCAAAGTAATCTGCACCGTTAAAATCTTATCCAAAACGCTAACGCTAATCTCTAACGCTATTCCTAAACAGGCCCATATTCCCATCAAATTATTGGATTCGGGATTGATTTTTTAATTTGATCCAAATTGGATTGTTTTCCAAGTTTACAAAGGAAGATATCTTTTGGAAAGTCAAATCTATTAATTATGTTTAGAATATATTGTTGCCTTGTATATTTAGGAGTTGTTTGTTTCAGCCTCTTAATGGTTCAGATGTCTGAATGGTTCAACACTTAATGGTTCAGACTGTTTGTTTCAGCTTCTTAATGGTTCAGATGTCTGAATGGCTCAGACATTTGCCTCTGAATGGTTAAGTATTATACAGAGTCTGAATGGTTAAGACCTCTTATCTGAATTGATCAAACATTTGGCTCTGAATAGTTAAGCAATATACTAGCTCTTAATGGTTAAGACCTCTTACTGGTTCAACATTTAATGATTCAGACTTCTTACGAGTTCAACACTTACCTATTCAGAATTTGCTAAGCCTAGTACAAGATGAATAAAGTGATGAATAAATTATAGAATTTAGAACAAGTACTTTATAGCACAACCCTAATTTTTTTTTCTTTTCTGCGCAGCTTCCTCAATCGATCGAAGGAAAAAAGGAACAGAGACGCCGGGCTGGTGGTTCTCTCCTTCATCGAGAAAAGCAACTGAGCAGGGAGGGGGAGAAGATCGGAAGAAAAGAGACCTAATTGCCGGAAGAGGAACAGAGTGCAGACGCCTTAATTTCCGATCTCCAATTCAGGTATTCTAAATTTATCAAATTCAAACCTTTTGAAACTCACTATGGTATGATCTACATGCATATTTCACCTTGTAGAATCCAATTTGTGTTTGTGTACTACTATCCCCTGTTCAATAGTCCAGCCAAAATTAGGTTTGAGTCTCTATTCTTTGTCAAGACTTGTGCTATTGACGTCTTTACCACCTAGACACTAAATAGGCAAGGCACAAACACAGCACTGATCTATAAATCAACCATGATTGCAACAATTGGAAGGAATATCTGACACTTGAGTTGCACAGTTACACAGAACAGAGACAAATTTGAAGGGGACGAAGATGGGAAACAATTGTTCTCAAAATGTCAATATAAAGGAAAACAAAAACACACCCATTTAATGACCTGAATTAAAAAGGGTAGAACTGAACTATAAAAAAAGTAGTAATTGATAACCGGAAAGCTTTGAACTGAACTTAAAAAGAAAATGACCACAACTTTGAACTCGGTCTTAAAAATGTACTCGGTATTTTTTTAACTCTTCCCTTCCCTTATTAATGAGCCATGACTTTGACCACTTCCTTTGTTTTGCTCTTCATTAGCAATCTCTTTAAGTCGGAAGGAAAGGGTTACACGAGATATTCACAGTTGCCGCCCCCACACCCACAAATTTGCTTCTGCAAAGTTAATTTTTCCGAAGGCAATTGTTTTCATCGCTCTGAAATCTTTAATGTTTTCATCACTCTGAAATAGTTAATTTATCATTTATTTCTTCGTTCAGTTCTGCTTTATTGTGATTTTGAAGCTTTAAAACCCTAAGTTTTAAGAATCAGAATTTTTGTTCGTTATGCGTACCTACATTTCCTTATCAATGCTTGGTTTTTTGATTTGATTATTTATTTATTTAAATATTGAAATTTGTTTTATGGAATGTAGATGGAAATGAACCAAAGAAGTAGTAGCACTTGGGGCGAAGGGCTTGTGGAGAAAATTCCTGTTGAGGTTATTGGAGAGATTTTGTCTCGCGTAGGAGTTGCACGAGACGTGATTCGAGCTTCCCTAACTTGTTCCAAGTGGCGAGAAGCTTATCTCAAACACCTTCATACACTTTCCTTTAATGTCGATGATGATGAGCGTGTCTTTCGGGAACTCCCTACTTGTGACTTGGAAATGTTGATCAGCAAGACCCTATTCCAGTCGCCCGGTTTGCGAAGATTGTCAATTCTGATGGATGAGACGCACGAGTTTTTAGCCAGTTCAGTTGTGGGTTGGTTAGAGTTTGCCAGAAGAAATTTGACCGAATTGTTTTACAAGGTTAGAACTTCTCACCCTGTTGATGTTCTTGAGATATGTGGGAAGCAACTTCAAACCTTGAGTTTGAGCGATTACAAAATAACAGTGGTTGAGTCGTATTTCAAACGATTCCCCCGTTTGACGTCGCTTTCTCTAACTCACGTCACTGCTTCCGTAGATGATCTAAATCGGCTGCTTTTGGGTTTTCCAAATCTCGAGCGTGCGGAACTTAGTCATATCTCTCTAGAGGGTTCAATCAATGAGGCACTCAAGTTGGATTGTCCTGCATTAAAGACTCTTTCGCTTAGTTATTTTCGTCCGCGGGGCTTTATTTTAGAGAGTGGTAGTGGTATTGATTATTTGCATTTGAGAAGATGTTATGTTCATTCATTTAAGGTCTCTCGTAGTACCATTTTGAGGCACTTCAAAATGTCCGACACGAGGATTCAACTTCTTGAAGTTGAATGTGGAGACAACCTCGAGAGTTTAGAAATCACCAGCAGTGAAGTTACAGAGTCCAACTTGTTCTCAAGGAAGATACACACGCCACAGTTGAGAACTTTTCGAATTCTGGATATTAATGAATTTGCAGGAGGGAAAGGACTAGCGGTGGATTTAGAACGACTAGCTGTTGGTTCACCAAAACTTAGCCATCTCACAGTATTTTTTAAAGAAGATCTTAAATTTACACCAACATCCTCGGAGAAGGTCGAGGTCTTGGAGATTGGATGGGAATGGGATTATATTGAAGAGTTTTGTGAGTGGACAGAGAAGGTGTTGAAGTGTTGCCCAAATGTTAGGAAGTTGATTGTCCAGGGAGAGGTTCTAAAAGTGGCTTCCATTCTTTGTTCTGCGAAGTATTTGACAGACTTTGGCGGGTACAAGGAATCAATGTTTGAAATGATGAGGAAGTATCGGCATATAGAAGTGCAGTTTGTTTACACGTATCACGGTAAGTGAGTTCCTAACTTATGTGTAATTTGCGTGCTTTTGGGGCAGGTACACAAATGCCCTTGTGTTGTTATGTGCTCCTTTTCAAATTATTGCTGAACCCGATTAAAACCGAATCAGATTAGATCCAAAGCCGATGAGTACCGATATTGATCAAATTAAACGAAAGGTGGTTTTCTATTTTTATAAAGAATGTATACAAAAAATACTACTCCCTCCGTCCAAAATTAAACTTCCCAGTTTGACCGGGCACGCATATTAAGAAAAAGTGTAAATGTAGTTGACTTTCCCAAAATGCCCTCCACCCCCTCACTTCTTTGGTCCCCCACTCTTCCCTACTTGCCAGAAAATACGCACAAGCAACCGGATAGTATCAGAAGGCTGCCTTGATGCTCCACCGATACCTCTCGTCGTCTCATCGCTGCTCTACGGTGTGACCTTCGCCGGCTGCTTTGCTGCTCCACCGTCACCTCCGCCAACTTCTTCAATTTCAAAAAGAAGAAGGAAGAAACTTGGGGTCCCCAACTTCTAATCCAACATCTTTGTCTAAGATCTATATATTGGAGTCATCAGATCTGTAGAAATATGATACCTCTTTATCAGATCTATGTATAATGATGACGTTGTAGGGTGGAGGAAGAAGAAAAGAAAGAAAGAGAGAAAAAGAAGAAGAAGAAGAAGAAGAAGAAGAAGAAGAAGAAGAAGATGGGGTGGACGGGAGAGAAAAAGAATTGGAAAAGAGGAGGAAGAGTGGGGAAAGAAGAAAGAAGAAGAAAAGGGGAAAAAACAGAAATCCAAAACAGAATCGAGGAAGAAGAAAAGAAAGAGAAGAAATGAAGAAGAAGAGTGGGGGTGGTTGCTGCCCTGGACCAGGAGAAAGAACGGAGAAAGAAGAAAAGAATAAGGAGTAGGGAGGGTATTAAAGACTTTTTACCATAAAAAAGTTTCCAAAAAAGGAAATGGGAAGTTTATTTGTGGACGGATAAAAAAGGAAAGTGGGAAGTTTAATTATGGACGGAGGGAGTATATATAGTGATATCGTAACACACATTCATGGTACCTGGTCTCCCTAGTGTTTTGAATGGATTTCAATGGCAATTTGCTAAGAAGTCATCCTAGTGTTTCTTAAGAGCATGTGCAATGGCAAGGAAGAGGCATGCCATGCACTGCCACATCAGCAGCTTCCACACATATCATGGCATGGCAAGGCCAAAATGCCTTGGTTTGTGAGGCATGAGTGTGGCACTCCATCCTTCTTTTTTTATTTTTTTAAATAAATTTTTTTAAAATTTTTTATGAAAAAAAATGTACAAGAATGTAGAATAATTTTTTAATAAAATAAATAATAAAAATATTTTTTTTATGTTTAAAAAACATAAAAAATGTAAAAAAGTGATAAAAAATAATGACTTGCCATTGTAGAACTTGCCACTCCATTCACTTGCCACACGCTGACTGGACTATTTTTGATTGGTTAAAATTTTCCATGTCACCGTGTGCCATTCCATTTTTGCCTCACCATTGTTCATGCTCTGGAGTAATATTTTCCCTTTGCTTAGTTAATTAAATGTTGCCTCCTCTTGTACTCCTAGAGTCCTAGTTAAGAAGTCATTCTACTGTTTCTCAAAGTGGGGTCTCTTTTTATACCATTGATTTTATTATAATGTACTCCCTCCATCCTATATTTTTCTTCCCGGTTCGCAAAACGAAGAAAAATCCCAATTTTTTTCAATCTATTTTATTTAAATATTGGTATATAAATAAAAAATAAAATATACATATTTAAAAATTACATCAAAAGTTCAACAAAACAAGTGGTGACAAGAATATTTTATTTTATCATATAGGCCATGAAAAAACACAAATAAATATAAATTCCCGTGAAGTTGGAATAGTACTCGGGAAAGAAAGTTTTAGGACGGAGGGAGTAATATCTGTTACTCCCTTTGTCCCAATTTATAGTCTTCGTTCACTATTCATAAGGTCAAATTTCATTCATTTTCTTTCTCTATTTTCGTTAGCATTTTGATTAAATAAAGTATTGTTGTCACTACTAGTTTTGTAGATCTTTTGATGTAGTATTTTAATATCTAATTTTTATTTTTTAATTCTATATCATTTGTCATATAAAATGAAATTCTGGTCAAACATCGTAAACCGAAACAGGCACTATAAATTGGGACAGAGGAAGTAATATATACTCCGTAATTTTCAACTTATTGAGATACAAAAAATTAACATTTTTGCTAAAATTAGTGTTTCTCAATTATGTTGCAAATAAATCATGAATGTAAATGTTGCAAATATATCATGAACTTAAATGTTCATTAAACATGTGGTGAAAGTATATGTTTATACTAATACACATTACCATTTTGTTTAAATGAAACTCAAAATTTATCCAGTCTCTTGAATATTATATAATCGCTTCAAATACCTATAAGGCTATAATCATGTCTTGATGAATAATCTAATTTATAATTTTGTCTCGAGTCTAGTTGAATTGGATTTCAATGCATAGACATATTTGTCAGAAAGTCATATTCGTCGTAGCTATAAACAAAAAACACACATCAAAAGCCAAGATTTCCTCGATGGTCATCAGCAAACATCATTCCAAGGTCATATTGATCGCAAAATTAACGTATAACGAACAAAAACCGAAAGCCAACCATCAAATAGTAATGACCAAAGGTCAAAATAAAGAATGGTTGAACTGTAATTGACTTTACAATTTTACATTGATGTGATGGGTATAGTAAATGGATGAATTATTCGAGAAAATTATATGATGCAATAGGTAAAATAAGAAAAAATAGAAATACAAGTAATTTAAAAAAAAGTATCTCTTGGTAAAAGAGAAAAAAAGAAAAGCAGTATTTTGGTGAACAGAGGAAGTAACTTTTTGTTTCATTTAAAATGCCATTGACCCAAGTACCAAACACACCCATTTATTGATGTTTGGACCCTTGGAGGGCAAAATTGGAGTTGAGTTGAGCTTTATGCGCGCTTCTGCTTCATCACATTGCATGTTTCATTTTTGTTGACTTTGATCACTCTAGTCACATAGAAAAAATCTATCTTAATTTTAGTAAATGAATTATATTCCGGAAAATTAATTTTTCCATTTTATCTTAATTTTGTAAAATTAGAGGTAACCCTTGATTAAGAAAGGGCAACATAAGTGTTTGAAAAACCAATAATCAAATGATCAACCAAAATATATAAAAAAAACATTGTCAAAAACCAAAATAGTAACTATGACATTTTTTTAAGAAGGGAATAAGTATAATCTATAAACTTTGAATAAGACCATTTTGTTTGGTACATGAACTATTACAATTGAAGAAGAAACAAAAAAAAACACCTAGAAATCAACAATTTAAATTGACAACTCTGCCACTTGCGAGTTCTAGCAAAACAGATTAGTGGATCGACCAATTGCTTGAAAAGAATTCTTTTTTGTTAAAAAGAATCATAAGGCTCACGTTCATATCTCTGCCAAATCTGAGAAATCTGATTTAGATTTGTGAAGGATATTAGCGTCGACGGAGGATCTTCTTCTTCTTCAATTCTCCTTCTTCTTCTTCAAGTACGTCTTGTTCATCTTCTTCTTCAAATGTTTTTCATCTTCCTCAAATATTTGATTCTTCCACCTTGGTGCGGGAATAGAAGGCTCAACATGGGCCCGAAAGGATGCCTGCGACCATTCTGGAATTTCTCTCTTACCGGAATTTCGCTCGATTGGGGCAGTCGTAACTTTTCTTTGCCCGATCCTAGAATGATGGGGTTGGGCAGCAGTAATTTGTGCTAAGTTTTAGGTATTGAATAAGAATATGATAATTCTCATAAGTGCTGGTACTCCTTTTCAAATCTGTTGGTACTCATTGTCATATATAATACTCCCTCCGTCTCATGCAACATGAGACATTTGCTTTTTAGGAGGGATTTAAGAGGGTGTATTTTGGTATTGAATTTCCAAAAATGTCCTTTGATGTGATATATAAAGTATGATTTGATAGATAGATTATTAGTAAAAAGGTATGATGTGATAGTTAGGGTATGAAAAAGTAAGGGGTAAAAGTGACTTTTTAATAGAAATGAGAAGTGTTTTGTGGGACGGATAAAAAAAGAAAGGGGAAAGGTTTCATGGGACGGAGGGAGTAGTTCTCATATATGTTTTGGGTATTAGATAAAAAGTTTGCAAAATTTACAAAAATACCAGGCTGTGCCTAAAGGAAGGTACAATTGGATGTATCATATAATTTGCGGGTATGGGGGGGATGTGGGGGGAGGTGAAGAGGTATTTTGGGAAAGTAAATGCAAATTTCATTTTTTGTTAAGTTTCGTGCATGGTCAAAGCGCGAACATTAAAGTTGGACGAAGCAAGTATTAGGTAACCCCATGCATACGAGTAATTAAAAGCAGACTGAAGGAAGGATATTCTAATTCAAAATACTAACAACACATCTTTTTGTAAATTAAGGATCACAGAAACCAAAGGACCCGGCAAGACTTGTCCTTTTTGGTTTAGGGAGACTAATCACACTAGCTACTACAAAAAATTGCCTTTTAAATTGGTCATTTTCATCTTTTAAATCAGTTGGAACCGATGCAAATACTTGCGATTCAATTGCTCGATTTACTTTTAGGTATAAACCTAACCAATTTAAATACTGAACGGTTGGTTAATTTTTTTCAAATAAATCAATTGAGTTTATTAATGAGTTTTAGAATGTTCATTTATTGGGCTAATAGCATGAGTCTCTCCCGACTCCCGTGGTTTACAAAAAAGGTGTCAAAGCCTCATCTATTTTCAAACGTTATAAGTAAAGTTGTTATGGTTTCTAAATAGAGCACACATTCCCCCCTACTTATTTTTAAAGAAAAAATGACATGTATGTCCTTTTTTTTCCTCGATCTTGAATTTTACCAATGTTATTTTGCTATATTATACAAATATATAAAATAACAAATACGCTTCCCATTTCAAATTAAAATTTTCCATAATGTATTTTTGAAAATAGTACAAAAGATTTTTTTTGGAGAATGTTACAAAAGAAAATGAAAATAAACTATTATGTACAAAGTAAAAATAATAATTGAAAAAAGGTAATGAAAAGAAAGAACAATATAAAAAGCAGTCTTTTTCTTTAACTTTGTATTTTATTTCATCT